TGTGTGCGTGTGTGTGTATGTATGTAGAAAAACAGATTTAACATGTCAAATAATAATTTTCCTTGCAAATATCGACTGCAATATCCAGTTAAATGTGAAATTGTTATTCATTTTAATGATAATTACCAGTTTTCCGTAATTGTGTCATATTGGCGTATACAGAGAAACAGATTTTTGCTGATGTTTGCCATTCATAACTCGGGCGTTGGCGATGCACTATTTTAAGCTTATTGATTGAGGCAAATTATGGTAATCGCACATGATCATGTTATCGCAAGCAAATTGTCTACTTACACCGTGTATCGTGTACGTTTTCACGTTGTTTTCAAGTGTATAAACAGTTTTAAATAATTTATAAATATATAAGTCGAGATCAATTAGACTTGTGTTATTTGATTTATGATTATTTTGATTTTGTTTATAACAATAATGATAATAATAATAATAATAATATTATTATTATTATTATTATTACTACTACTGACACTGCTACTCTATTACTTCTAATAATAATAATTGTAGTAGTAGTAACAACAACAACAACAATAATAATATTATTTATCTCTATTATCATTGTAATTATCGTTATAAAAAATATTATTTTTAATTTTATTACACATATAAGTTTTATATAGGCGGTAGTAGTAAGTGAACAAGTCAGATCCTTATATTTATTTTGTATTTCTTAAACGATTGTTCTTTTGAAAAAGCACGTGTACATAAATAATGAAAAAGGTAAGGCACGTCGCAGCAGTGTAATAATGCTTTATAACAAAGTTTGAACACTCACCTTCGTAATAATTACATAATATTTTTTAACGAAGGCAAAATTGTAACCGAAGTAACCGATCGATACTTAAGATCATAGGACGATTCGTGTAAGCAATTAAATAATAATAAAAAAATAAAATAAAGTCGTTTTATAATATTTGTTAATAGAGCACATTTATGTAATCCGTTTTTTTTGTTTTTTTTTTGTTTTTTTTGTTTTTTTTGTTTTTTTGTTGTCCGATAAAATAGTTAATAGCCTCGCGATTATTTATATGCGTATAAAAGAAAAGAAAATATAATAGAAAAATCGAAGGTAGTTTCAAGCTCGAAGATCGATGTAATTCACGATGACATTTTATGAAAGGAAAAGAAAGAGAAAAATATATATGTATAAAATGAAACCAGTTCCCTGTCGAGACTACGTTCTCCTATCAGTTTGAGAAAATAATTTCAGGCTCTTCGCCTTCAAATTAATTGCTTATATTATTTATTTTGAAAAGACAGAACTGTTGCGTTTTGTGCGTCAATATTATATCTCAAAAGTGTAACAAAAGCCGTTATTTATATTATTTATAAATTTTTAAACAATAACCTCAAGGAACAATTCTATTATTTATTTGTTAAATAACTGAATAACTATGAAAATATAATACTTTGGAATTTTAATTATGTTTAATATATATTTACAAAGTGTTTTGGAAATATATATATATATATATATATATATATATATAAAGGTTGAATGTTGATGAGAGAGAGAGAGAGAGAGAGAGAGAGAGAGAGAGAGAATAATAGCACGATGAAAAGTATTAAATATATGTAAAACGCTAAACAAATATAGAATTAATAACGTATTTTCGAGTTAGTTTGGCAGCAAGTTGTATTTTATAATTATGAAAAAGCAATTATTAATTGCCAATTAGTGTCATCGATAAAAGAAAACTAATTGCAATATATAATTTTCCCATATAATTGAATAAATATAACAATAAAATGTGAACTTTATATAATACACTTTGATAAAATTTGATAATTTTATACTTAAATTTACAATTAATTATGTTTATTAAGAAATAATGATTTCTATTAATACCAGTAGTGATCATTAGCTTTTTTTTAGTTTATTAAAATTTAAATTTATTAATTTTTCTTTTTTCTCAAACTGTATAAAGCTGGCCATTATTTTCATCGATTTTGATAATTATGAAATTAGATTTCTCTTAGAGACGTATAGTTTTATTCATTAATAATTATTACATTTGAAATACTTATAATAATCATGATATAATTGCAAGATAATATTAATTAATATAAAATAAATAATACCTTGACAAAGTCACTAAATGATAAGAAAAAATTATAATTTCAATATTTGTAATACACTATTAATTTAATATAAATCTGATTCCCAAGTAGCGAATATTTCACGGCTAACTTTTAATTTAATAAAATAAGATTTTTTATTCGTATTAAAGAAACATATTTATTTGAGTAATTATTTCTAAATAATAATCAATTTTTATTAAATTTCATGAACTTGGTTTTTATGTTTTCCTGCTTAACTGACATTGGCAAAAATCCGAAAAGTGACGATCACTTGTTTAATAAAGTTAAATACACAATAATATTATATATAAATACATTGACAATTGCTGTTACATATTATCATAATACAGATTTTAAATTTCTTATATCTATATAATTAATTACTCAATTTATGATCATTGACTGTCAAAATGAAGACTGAAAATGTTATATAGTCAGTCCAAGTATATAAAATATAAAAAAAAAAAAAAAAAAAGTATTTTTAATTTTATAGTTAAAAATTTCTAAAGAATTTGTATATAAGTGACATAATTAATTAATTATAGTACATTAGATTTATAAATTGTTAAACCTATAGATTTATTATCATAAAATAAAGTCTTTCATTATTTGTATCAAAGTAATTTTTTTATAAATTCTTATATTTGTTGTACTAATAATTTACAATTATATACATAGTATACTATCTACAAAGTTTTTATTTTACATGTTTTGTAATCACTGATATTAATAAATGAATTTTCTCAAAAGACAAATAAAATGTTATAGAATTCCGTGGCAGTCGAAAAATGATTAAAATCCTATTTCTCGAGTAAGTCTTTCGCTTCGTTAACTTTGGCCGCTATATAGGGCGACCCACCACGATCAGGATGATTAGCAGACATAACTTTCTTAAATTGTTCTTTAACTTTTGCTCTCGGTGCTCCAGGCGAAACTCCCAAAATAAGTCCAGCTTCTCGGCGAGTCATTTTTTGTTCGAAACCCCCTTTATAATATTTACTGTTCGCCATTGACTAGACATTATTTCAAATGATATTTGTCATTATGTAATTACATGGCTTTTATATTTAAAATTTTTATATAATTGTTTACCTGCGAATTAAGCTGTGGCATGTTTTTTAAAGTCTCAGCCATTTTTTCAGATATATTTGGCAGTCTTTTAACTATATAGCGTCCAGCATATCCTATTACAGCTATTCCAATGCCTGTAATTATAGCTTTTGTTGACTGAAGATACGTAAAGAGAAATATTATTATTATCAAGAGAATTTTAACAAGTAGTATATAATATAATATCGTTTATTTAAATTGTGAAATATATATATATATATATATATATATATATATACATACATACATATATACATATATATCGTTTAATCAGCTAGAGTATCGTAATTATTAGGAGCAATGCGAATGAGTAAATCGAGAGTTAAAAATAAATGCCAAATTATTTTAATGTTTTAATGTTAAGTTTTGCAACGATCGTATTATATATTTATCATAATGGACAAACACTATTGTTAGTTAATGTAGATGTTAAGGAAATATTAGTTTAAAATATAATAAATAGAAACGTACTGAGGCATATTATTACCATTTTCTTTAAACAAAATTTCAGTACTAAAGGTTTAAATTTTAAAAATACGATCTACGATAACCTTAAAACAAAATTTCGCACTGACGACGAATCGAGGCGATGAGAGGAAGGATTGGATGATGAGTCTGAAGTTATCCGCTGAACACTTCAATAATCGAGAATTGAGCCCGAAAGTTTGAAGAATCTACACGCTCACGAATATTTGATGGGCGCTTGATAAGAAATTAAAGTGAATTTCATAGGATAGCGTAGCGTAGGTGTCGTAGGTCTCCTCCTAGAAGGAAATTCTCCTTAAATCGGATGACTATTAGCGAGAGTTAGAGGAACACAGTCCAGAAGAATTTTGAATTGAACAGCAACACGATTTCTTACAGTATATCAGCTTGCTAATGCTTGATTATGATTCAGTCAAGGCAATCGGCTTAAAAAAAAAAATAATAATAATAAATAAAATAATAATAAAGTAAACATACAAATGTAATTGAACATCATTTTTAATCAGATGCAACTGGCAATCAAAGCTCGAAGGTGAATGTTTGTTCTTTTTTTTTGTCTGTTAAATAGGATTGTCGAGAAACAAACGTGTTTCAGTGTAAGAGGCTCATAGGAATCTATGGATGAATTAATTAATTTTCTTATGAAATATATTATGTGTGTTATTTACGGATAAACAAAAAATAAAAAACAAAAAAAAAAAAAAAAAACAAAAAAAAAAATACTCCCATAACACTCATAACTCCATAATTAATCGTACTTTATTCGTTTTAGAGAGGATTTTAGAAAAAGTCAATTTTCTTTTAATCAAAACCCCTACAATATTTAATAAAACGAAAGATTTTTACCAATAGGTTCACTAGCCATTTTAAAAGAACGTAACCATTTTAAAAGAATTTTTTTTTTTATTTTTATATATTTTTAATGCAAGTTGATTCAAGTGGTGTCAATAATAATTTTACAATGAATTTTGTAATCTTTAAAGAATAATTTTCTTCGACTAATTATATTAGTATGAATGCGAGGGAAGATTTACATTAGTATAGGAGCCGCGATAATGTTTGTATTGTCGCATGTACAATAAGTTTTAAATTCTAATATCTTGGTCATGATATGAAATTAATCATCATGAAATATTTTGCTCTTAACTGCAATTAAGACCTTCGTGTAATAAGATTCAAGTTATTTATATTATTATATTGGATACGCTTGATATGCATGAGATTGCAAAGTGTAAAATACTAAACATTGTAATAAAATGATGTTTACAATATTTTTCGACGATTTAAAAATCTTATCTCGTTTATTCATTGCAAATTTAATCGGCACGATAATCATTGTTTGCATTATAATTTTATGCCTATTTACGGGGTAAATATGATTTCTATTAATCATATTGAAATGTCGTTGTATACCTCCGCATTCTATTTGTCTGATAAAGTATATTTAATAACACTAAATAAATTAATAATTATTTCTTTGGTCCTGTTTTTTAGTTCCTGTATATTAGTCACCATTAGCTTCATTATTTTTAATTAAAAGAATGAAAGAAAAGAACTTGCCTTTCTTATAATTACGAGTCTAATAATTAACGAAATTTTAATGTTACACATTGAAGTACTTTGAATTATTGGGTGGGCATATACATAATTTGTATATAAATAAAAAAAAATTGATAATTTTCTATGACACATCATAATAGTAATAATTAGATATCATAATTAAAAAGTCATTCACTCGTATGATCATTTGAAGTCGCTAACCTTACATTGTACGCATTTCTCAATTAAATTTTCAATCAAGAACAAATATTTCATTTAGCTAAACTACAAAATGAATTTTAATTTTAATAATGTAAAATTATGTCAATCTTATTTACATGGAAGAATCTTTTCTCATGAAAAGTCACGCAGACAATATATTACGTTAAAATTATCAATTATTATTTTTGTTTGATGTGTCTTGGCATAAATCAATGGCATAACAGATCAACGGATTTTAGCTTAACGTACGGAGATTAGCTACTACTGGCCGTCGTCCATAGTGATTTTACATCCTCGAGTGATCAAACTTCACGTGTTTCCGTATAAATTAGGTCAAGCTTAGGTTTCTACATCGCCATCGAAATTAAGGACCTTTCAATGTAAATTTCAATCCATTTATTACGTCTGTGCTTTAATGCTTATTCCTTGAATTTTGAAACTTCGAGTAGGTCGATGCAAGCAAAGATATATTTATTACTCTTATCAATACGATTGCACATTATTTATATTAAAGGTATGCAATTAGTTGTAACAATTAAATAAAATGTCGAATAAAGCGTTGAGTATATGAAATACTAAATTATGTTATGTTAAGAGAGAGAGAGAGAGAGAGAGAGAGAGCATTGTTATAATATTAAAAGACATAATATGTCATTTTAATAATTAAATAATGTTAACGAAGTTGAACCCAATAGCCCTATAGTACCTATAATTACATAATCGATATTGTTTTTTGTTTATAATATCGTCCTGCACGTATGTCGCCATTTTATTTCAAGCTCTGTGCAATTTCATATTGCATCAACAAATATTATTAAACAATCTCATCTCACAGGCACTCGTGCAATTAACCATAGAATCATCTTGTACCATCGCAATCGTACAAAATCTATATACGATATAGGTAATAATAATATATTTGACGCCGATAAATAATTTTAATTACACGTGGGTATTAATAAGGCCATTTAATTTAATAATACCGGAGTTGTAACAGTTACATAGCTGCGTACTCCCAGCTATTGTCAGACGTGCAAATACCGTTTCCGCTAATTATTCTGGCCTGGTTGGCTCCGTGGCTGGAATCTCTAACGTTTAATTCATTTGTCAGCATAACGCGTCGTTATTCCCCTCCGCTACGGAATATCTTACATAATCGTCCACTCCTTTGAAGGGTGCTTAATCGAGATCTTCGTCCTTATCGAGGATTTCATCGGCTTCGTAGAGAGTATCCTTCGCAGTAGCATCGATCCTTTTTTATTTTCATATATTCATTCGAATATCGATATAATCTGCCTGGCTGCTCATTTTCATCACGAATTCTAAGTCTCTCACTCGCAATTTCACTCACACTTTTACTCGCATAAGCTCTCGCCATTCGTCAATAATTATTAGAATTACGGGGTATCGGTCGGATGGGCACTTGGAAGACAGTGAGGCGGCACGTGAAAGCTAAAATTTTCATATCGAGCGAAGATCAATATACGCGCAAATACAAACAGGTCCATTGTTCTCGATCCAACACGAATTTCCCAACAAAAAGCTCCCCACTTCCTCCGGCACTTCAATTCATTATTTTGCATTTATGCACTTTCTCGAAATTTACCACACCACATATCCTGGAATATTATAAATTTGCACTTCCGCCTACTTCACTTTGGTCTCTCCACCACACAGCTTCTCGTATCGGTCCTCTTACCGCCTTTCTCTCTATTCGCATCCATTTATTATCATTACAACACCATTAATCCTCAGAGAGAGAGAGAGAGAGAGAGAGATATTTATACACTAGCATTATCATCGCTGTGCTTGCAGCGCAATTATAATTTCATGACGTTTAAGAGCTACGTGGGTGCGATTTTTTCAAAAACTTAGTTTTCGTTATTATTTAATAAAACGCAAAGTTACCATTGGATAAATTATATAAAATTTACTTCAAACTTTTCCTCGTATTTCATAAATAATTAGCCACGTGCAAGTTATCTAACGGTATTTATCACTTGTTACGACTTTACATTTCACTTATGTATAATTAATTGAAACTAATAAACATATAAATATCGATTTATTATTGATATCATAATGTATTTTTTATAGCTCAATGGTGAAATCTACGAGATACCTATCGGAGGAAACTAAACTGCGACGATAGTTTTAATTGAGAAGCGCTACTTTATTTCAGCAAATATCAATTTGTTTTTGTTTTTGTAATTTAGAATGGCAACGCAGTAGGGTTTAAATAATTTCCAAAGGATCATAAGGCTTTTCATAAGTCATTTATGGTAGAATTTTATCGATGCGATCGATCGGTCACTATTTGTCATCATTAGCTTCAATCATTGACGCGAACATTAGAGATAAAATAAGTGATAAATAAGAGATAAAATTTAAGAGATTTACGAGATGAGGAGGAGGAGGAGGATATTTTTGTATGTATTATGACGTTTGAGATTTATATTTATTTGCTTTATCACAACATTTCTCTACGATATTATTTTTCAAAGTTTTTTTTTTTTTTTTTTTTTTTTTTACGAAATAATGAAAATCCATTTTAGTTAATAATCCTTCTTGATTTAAATTCTTATATACTAGATTATTTACTCTAAATAATTATAAACGACTTATTAGTAAATAGAGTAATAATAAAATCTCATTTAATATCTATTTTATAAAATGAATTTTATATAATTTAATAGAGCATAAAAATTAATTGAAATTTTTAAGGTCAATTTATTAAAAATGAAGTGAATCGTGTAATCTATCATAATATTTAATTCAAATATACTTACTCACTAATATGTTTATATTTTTCAAACAGATACGCTATTATGCAAGGAAAAAAAGATAATCATGTCAAACAAAAGTGGAAAGAGGTATGTATATATAAATATTTAAAAATCTGTTTGCTAATAAATATCATCGTATATATTTTTAGAATTGATATTTTTACGAAATTTCTCTATGAAATTAGCAATTAAGGTATATTTATTTTGACAGTTTTCTCTTCGGTAAACGTAAACGTGCATTTTATGCGGCTGAATTAAAAGTAAAATAATAATGACAATTAAAAAATTTCATTAAAGGTCGATTATTATTATTATCGGAACGATGTTTAAGGAATGTTGATGAATCATGCTTTTAGAAATTTGACAAAGCTCTACCTAATAATGGTATATATTTTATGTAAACTTTGAACTTATTCCAAGTTAATCTGAGACTGTATTTGAAAGTTTACTTTTTCTCAAGATAAAGAAAAAAAAAAGTTTTAAAAAATGCGTTTGAACGTTTAATTTAGTTTTCAACATG